CCGCCTAAGATTATTGGCCTTAAGGGACCGTTTCTCCACTACCAGGTCCATTGCAAATGAATGGTTTGCAGAACACGGAAGACCTATTGGCATGCGAAGTGTTTACCGACGAATGAGAAGTTTTGGCTTGTTTTCATACCGGCCACACTGAGTCCTCCTTTAACTCGAGAACACCGACGTAATCGCATTGAGTGGTGCAGACAACGGTCACTGTGGGATCAGGAATGGAACAGTATTGTCTTTAGTGACGAGTCTCGATTTTGTTTAGGCATGCACGATGGTCGTGCCAGGGTTAGAAGGCGACGTGGTGAAAGGAGGAATCCACAGTTTTTTGTTGAAAGACATGTTCATCACACTGTTGGAGTTATGGTTTGGGGTGCTATAGCTTATGGTTCCAGGTCACCTTTAATCTTCATCTGAGGTAACATGAACGCGCAGCGTTATATCCACGAAGTTCTAGAACCCCATCTTTTACCCTATCTTGACACCCTGGCAGATCCAACTTTCCAACAAGATAATGCCCGACCACATGTTGCAAGAGTCACAATAGACTTCTTTCAACATAATGATGTCACATTGTTACCATGGCCACCAAGATCTCCCGACTTATCCCCAATTGAGCACGTGTGGGATATAATGGGTAGGAGATTGCTCAATTTGCAACGTCCTCCTCAGACTCTAGAAGCACTTCGAGAGGAGTTGGTGGTTGCCTGGAATGAGATACCACAGGAGGACATTGACCACCTGATCAGAAGCATGCCTAGGCGCTTTGGAGAATGCGTAGCACATCAGGGTACATCCACACATTATTAAAGATCAAAGGGCTTTAAGGAAGTGCAATCATTTTGAAATTTTTATCATTTACTTATTATGCTTCATTAAGTACTTATACAAAATTTTATTAAAATAAAACCATTTAAACTGGGTGTTCGGATTTATATGTCACTTAGTATACAACTGGCTTCTAATCCCGCTAATCCTATGCACCCATTAGTACAATAGTTCTCACCACGGATTTATCGAAAACCATTGATTAAAAGAAAAAACGCCAAGACCAGGCAAAAGATTTGTCAATGGGGACAACTTTTTAACCAAAAACTACTTCAGTCTAATGGTGTCAAATCGGGAGATCTAGCAGGCCATTCTATAAATTCTCTTCGCCCTATCCATTTATATGGAAACTCCTCGTCTAGCCATTGCCGAACCGGAAGAGCATAGTGAGGAGGAGCGCAGTCATGCTGGAAATATATTTCAGCCTCATCAAACTGACCCAAAACTTCAACTTGAGCGGCTTCATCCGAAACTCTCCGAAGATTACGTTTTTTATTTGCAACAGATCCAGTTTGAGTAACTTTAATAACAAGGTCCAAAACACACTCATGTAAAGTTATCTTCCCCTGCCGAGCACTTTGATTTTGGGCACCAGAAATTAGAATCATTTCCAATCGTTTGGCAAATGTGTCAACCATTTTTGAAGTAAAATCTGAATCAATAAATTAATTTTCACTATCCCAACATTGTCACAAAGGTAACTGTCGGTACATTAAATTCTTTCTTTCCCTTAGCAACAAATAACTAAACACGTATACTTTATCTGAAGTCACTTGAAACACCGTGAAATACCGGGTGCGTTTTATATATCTATATTTAACACGCTCTGTTGCTGCAAAAATCGCCAACTTTCGCAGCAAATATCCCCCGTATAAGATCAAAGGCAGTTTCACCGGTCCACGTGGAGTAAAGCACGCCTATGCGCGGACATAGCCAATGAGAAAGCGTGTATTTCAGAGCTCCGAATAAGTGCAGGTGGCTACTGAAAATTGAAACAGTTTAGCCAGCGCCGTGTAGCGGTGAATAAACGTGTTTTCTTTAGTCTGTCCGTGTTTTTTCATAGATTTTATTAGTTTGTGTGTTTTTGACTTTTGAATACTCAGTTTACTTGTTGATTTAATTGTTGTGTTGATTGTTCTTGTGCGTCCTAAATATGGCTCTTTGGAGACCTTGGGAAAATGCTCCAAGCCACGAGGAGATGGTTGATGAACCTGTGCAGGCAGAATTCTTTCATAAAGATTTAGAGGAACAGACCCAAAGAGTAATCCTAAATATGTATGATTGTCTGAAAAACGAAAATCCAGATTCCTCGCAAAATCAAATTTTAAACAGAATTTGTATCCTGACAAAAATCAGTCGGTCTACCATTTATCGGGTTATAAAAAGGGGAGATGTAGTCAACCATTCCTTCCACAGAAAGCGCATATGGCAAAAATTAAAAAGAATAGACGTGGGTTTTCAGGAAGATATTCGTCGTATAATATACGGATTTTATAAAGAAAATTTGGTGCCCACGTTGGAAATGATACGGGATAAATTAAAAGATTATCCTGAAGATTTTTATAATTACAAATGCTTAGACTCACTGCACTGTATTGTAAAACTGTGTGGTTTTCAATACAAAAAATTAGATAAAAGAATGGTGATTATGGAGTCGTCTCGAATCGTTGAATTGCGCCAAGAATTTTTGCACAAAGTTAAAATCTATAGAGAGCAGAAAAGAAATCTGATTTACCTGGATGAAACATGGTATGATACCCATGATGTTGTGCAGTACGGCTGGGTTGACGACAGCAACAAGTGCATTTTAAATGCACCATGCAACCGTGGAAAACGAATCATTATTCTCCATGCTGGCAGTGAAAATGGATTTATACCTAATGCCTTGCTGTTATCTGCCAAAATTATCAAAGAATCTTGTGCCGACTATCATGAGGACATGACCTCCGACTTATTTGAAAAGTGGATAGAGCAGCAGTTAATACCAAACATTTCCCCAAATTCAGTGATTATTATGGACAATGCGCCATACCATTCCCGACAGAAAAAAAAATCCGAATACAGGCACAAAAAAGCCAGACATTATTGATTTTATGAAGGATAAGGGAATGGAAATACCACAAAAATCAACCAAAGCCATATTATTGGATCTTATTAAAAGACAAAAATTTGAAAAAGAGTATGTTGTTGACAATCTGCTTCAGCAAAATGGCCATGAAGTATTACGTCTACCTCCCTATTACTGCATTTTTAACCCGATTGAGTTGGTCTGGGCTGCTTTAACAAAAAAAGTAAGAAAACATAATCAGACCCCTCAATTAAGTGAATCGTTATTGGCCACAATAAGAGATGCAGTATCTCATATTGCTGCCACAGACCTATGGAAGCAGTTTTCTAGGCATATTATTGAAAAAGAAAATGAATATTGTGTTTTGCCTCCTGTAAATCCCGTTGTAATTCCTCTACAAGATGACTCTAGCGACAGCTCCGAAGGCGAAGATGATATATAAATACCTATAATGTAAGTCTTTATATACCTTTTTATATACCTACCTGCTACGTAAATATTTGCCTATGTCAAACGTTGGAATTCTGTAATTTTTCCATTTCTTAACTTTCAGTCAACATAAATTAAACTCCCAATATAAGTATTTTTTATCCCAAATCAAAAAAATAAGAAGATAGTAAAATCGATTTATTGTGATATAAAAACATTATTACTATCGTTCTAAATAAATGACCGCACGCCTATGATACGTCATGAAATTACAAAGGACGCGCCGACCAAAGGTTTTTATGCTATTTCAAGTGACTTTAGATAAAGTATATAACAATAAATACGGTTCGCCCAAGATACCTGTGTTGACAAAAAGAATGCGGAAAAAAATTCGGGTTGTTATTTGGTTGTTGCCACGTCCAACCTTCCGAATTGCTGTTTATGTTGGTAGTTTGCGTTTCAAATTATAAAGTAATTGTAATTTGGGACCTCGGTTGGCCGTGGTTTACAACCTGATACCAATTTGTGTGAAAAAAATGTAGATTTGGCAAACCCTAACGGGAAACATTTTGAATACTTATTGAAACAGAAAGTGATATTTTCCTGTGCTTTTGTTTTCGCTCTGAATTTAAATAAATGACTTCGAAAGAACCTTCAATCAAGCTATTAATCGGTATCCCTCGTCATTTGAAATTTTTAAGGGTATGACCCTGGGGGGCAAGGGTTAAAAGGATAGAAGTAGGTTTTGGTTCAAAATTTGAACCACCATTAAGCCGTACGTTCGTTAGTGGTTCCTTGGCCAAATGCGAGCCGCCTCGGAAGCTTTTCGACCTACTTTGGACTGGAATAAGAAAATCGAGCGAATTTGCCTCTTGTACATCCTATATTTGAACTCATGAAAAAAAATGATCGTAAAACAAAACAAAAACAACGACTAGATAGAGCCAAACACGAGCTTTAATATGATATATAAAGTCAAAGTATTGTGACAAATAGTTCTGTTGGCGCCATCTGTTCGGCGAGTCTCCTACTCGCCGGAGCTAATGGCCGATCTCTGCTTTTACGCGGAACACGACCTCACAAGCCGCTGGCGGCGTCTGTGAGGACCGTGATCCTTCTAGAGCCTTCTAGATCGACGCGAAGTGACCTCCAATATTCTAGATGTCGCTTTGTGGTTCACCAGACCTTTCTCGAAGCAGCAAATATATATAACTCGGCAGCCGGGAGATGGAAGCAGAGTAGTGATTACGGTAGAGTAGCAGAGCGGAGTGGAGTATAGTGCAGTCAATGGCGACATAAGAATTAGTCAGACATAAATAGTGGTGTATATAAATGTTCTATCAAGTTAAATAAATTAGTGCATTTCTTTTTGTGGAATCCAGTGTTTTAGTCAACACTCAAAAGAACCCAGAAAAACGCTACAGTATTATAAAGAAATTTTTGTGTAAAATACATCATTTAAAATATAAATAACAAAAACCTCAAGAACTTACAACCTTTTTCTTATAATAGTGATCCTTTAAGGAGTGATGACAGCATTGATTGGAAAGTGCGGAATAAGCCTACTTAACGCCAAGTTGTTAATCACTTAAGAACGCCTGGGTGAGGGACATAATTTTATTTTTTCTGATATGTATGGTTCTGGTGGTACAAAAAGAAAATTTTGTTGCAGATACACAACGAAAATAACGAGAACAACATCGCGTTATCACCTTACGGTGCTCTGAGCGTCTTGGTCATTTTGGGCGAAGGGCTACAAGGTGATGCTGTTCGAGAAATCCAAGATGCTGCGAAGCTACCGAATGATATTTCTGTCATCCGAGTCGGCTTAAGGGATATTCATAAACATCTGAAGGTAAATTAGACATTAAAAAACAGCTACGATTCATAATTTTTCATTTATTTTCTTTATTGGCGCTCAATACACTTGCGTGCTTACACAGGCCAAACTAGAAGCTAAAACACGAAAGTGTAAATTCACAATACAATAAAGTTTGTTGGAAAAAAACAACATCAACAGAATAACTGTAAAATGATAGTATTAATTTAAAATAAATACAAAACTATAGAACAAGTACGAGTACATACATCCAAACAAATTAACAGAATAACAGTACACAATCACACTGCAACATCATTATAAGAGATTCGAAAAGTTATTACTTAAAAATTCTTCAGTGATACGAGTATAAAAAGCTGTATTGATAAGTATTCAAGCATCAACTTAATTACCCCAAATTTCAACTTGTCAACTTCACCCATTTAAAAAATAAATACCGTACAGGTATATTACGCGTTTCTGTTTCCAGAGCTATTTCTTCCCCAAAGAAGGCTTTCTAGCAGGCCTCACTTTGAACCACGAGAACATCACCTTCAGGCCAGAATACGAAGACGTCCTGAAGTTCTACGGATACGACATCTCATCCTTTAACAACGCTCTGTTTCCTGACTCTGAGGATACCACCACAGCGGTTCCTCTGGAAACCACGGCCTCGGCAGCATCTGCAGCGACTGATATGATGGATTCAGATGGATCTGACACCACGACAGCATTAGCAACGACAACAAAAGCAGCTGCAACCACCTCCACAGGTAGTTTGATCGCGAGATCCTTGTTGTATATTCAGATAAGAGATAGACCGGACATAAACAAGACCACGTGATCATCGAACGCTGTAACATTCGGCAGGGACGTATTAAGAGTCACGCAGTACATATTTTAGATAGTAGATGCTGCTTTGCGTAACTTTGTAGTAAATTAGCACAATTCGATGTGTATACGATTGGTGATGGATATAGGATCATGTGGGGGTGGGGTAAGAAATATATAATGATGTAAATATACATAAGGGTTTCAAAATTTTCGCTTCGATTTCCAGCTTCGGATGCCGCCTGATGTTTGGTGAAATACAGTCGAATATAATCTCAAAATGGCCTTTAAATTAGCCTAAATTAAAAATAATCGTATATCTCTTAAAATTGCTTTTAGAATATTGATTAGTATATTTTTTGATTTCTAGGTAAATATGTAACCAAATTAAAACGTTCAAAACGTAAAAAAATGTGCATGGTTGAACATTGTCAGAAAGTAGATTCTTGAATAGGTTTTGCCAAAATGGGTTCAAAAATGTCAATAATTAATTAAAAAATACAGTAGCTTTATAATTACTTATAACTTACCGAATTTGATGAACGACATCTTTTATTGGAAAGATGAGCTTGAAAAGCTTTCATCTTCGCTACTGCCTGAAGCACCAACGTCAATAATGAATGGCTCGACTTGTTCCTCTAAAATATTGTCCAGTTCCCACATTCTCTTTTCAACTTTGTCTTTCACGTGCTTAATACAGTTTTCCCATTTTTGCGCTGTTATTAATTCTAGTGCTTCTTTGAAAAGTCCTTTGAGGTCACAAAATTTAAGAGTTGTATTGTGCTTAGCTATATAATTTTTAACCTCTGCCCATATGAGCTCAATGGGATTGAGCTCGCAATGGTATGGAGGTAAACGGAACACAGTTTTATTTTGACTTGCTGCCATTTCGTCAATGGCGTATTTTTGATATTCCGCCTTGTGATCCTTGACAATTCTTAGCAATTGTACTTTCAGCATTGCTTCTTCAAAGTTGATATTTTTCGAGCGGAGCCAATTTTGAACATCAACTTTCCTTGAAGCCGTTGTTGGGACCTTCTCCATTCTTCGAGAATGATAAGGCGCATTATCCAACACAATTACTGCGTTTTCCTCTAAGTTCGGTAAAATTTTTGAAAACCACTGTTCAAACGATTCGCCATTCATTTCCTCGTGGTAATCTCCAGTTTTCTTAGACTCAAAGCACCACAGACCGTCAACAACAAATCCATCCTCACTGCCAATATGGCAGATAATGAGCCTTTTCCCTTTACCTGGAAATCGAAGTACTAACTGGTGTAGATTTATTTCAATAAGCGAACCTTTTTCAAATGTTTTCATCACATTCAGCGAAAAAACATTGAGACATCAGTATCAGATTGCTATAATTGGGATTATTTAGTCATATTGAAAGAAAGAATATTGAACGTCGTATGATTACTCAGCGCTTCACAATTTAATTTAAAGTTATAAACCTTTAAAAAATGAATGATCAGGAACCTGAAATACGCGCAAATATTAGTATTAACAAATTATAACTTTATAAAGCTTAAAGTATGAATTAAAATGATTAGAAATAATAGGAACGGTACACAATATAAAACTTAGTAACTTTTTTTAAGTTTATAATATTCGACATATTTTAAGATTATTTTAAAAAAATATTGAAATATCGAAAACACATAAAAACATGGCTTAAAAAAGTTCTAACAAATGAAAATGACAATAAAACATCCACGCATTTTATCGAAAGTTATAAAAGTTTTGTTACTTGTAATATGTTTTATCTGCCCCCTGGAATTAATGTTTAGAACCTTGTTCCCAAGGTTTGAAAAACATCCGATTGTTGTCTATTACTCGTATTTACCTGCTGGATATTTTAATCCGGTGGACAGTCCATCTAGAAAGGCCCTCCTGGATGAAGTTACAGAATCATCAACCCATTCTTTACTTGTAGTGTGTCCTGCGTTTACCCACGTTTCATCAAGGTAATAAATCTTCCTGTTTTGATTTCTATATTTCCCAATTCTTGTTAAATAATCCCTCCTCCATAGCACAATTTCTTCTCTATCCAGTAGTAAACTATTACGACCCTGTTTTTTCCATTTGAAATATAAATGCTTCAGTAACGCATGGAAAGTTGATCGTTTGAAATTTGGCAACGTTGTACCTCCATTTACCTCCTGCAGTACTTTATCTATAGTAGGTATTTCATTCCTAAAGAAGAATGCATGCACTTTCCTCCTAATCGCATGCTTATCAGCTTCATCCAATGATTTAACAATACTTTTGCGATGTTTACTGGTCATTGGCTCAGAAAAGGTGTGATTTTTTTTGTATTGTCTTAACACATTAAGCACTGATGCGCGACACACCCCAACTTTGTGAGAAACCTTCACAACAATTTCTTTGATGGTTGATGCCTCGTTCTCCTCGCGCTCGATCTTATATATATTCAAAATGACCTCTTTCATTTCTGCACTCAGGTGTCTTTTTTTAGAGCGTTTCCTAGGTGGACTACAGGAGTTTACAACTTCATCGGCAGTATCTGTACTACTGGGCATTTTGCGCAAGCAGTTGATAACAATAACAATCAATAACAAGGAATAACAATAACAACGACAAACTCAACAACTTAATAAGATAACAAACGAAAACGTCCAAAGAAATATCAAATTGCAATGATGCACACGACATACGTAACACGTCTGAACCTGAATGTGACTCTGCCTTGATACGACTGCTCTGCCGCTCGGCATAGGCATTTAATTGCGAATTGACCAATGAGGGCTCCTGTTTTACGTCGAGACGGCGGCGTTAGCGTGAAAATCACCCGAACCTTTTGTTTACATCCGGTCTATCTCTTATCTGAATATACTGTAATAAATAATATCTAAAAACTGAATGACCGAGATGCAACAATCCGATGTCATCCGGTGCTAGGATTCACGGGTAGGCCCGGCAAAATAGTTTTTTCCAATTTTATAGCCCAAATGCGGTCCGATGACAATTTAGATTTTTTTTACTATGATATTCATCTTCACGCCCCAAATTACCTTATTGTAGATAGCTTCGCTCACATGTAGCTATCGATAGTAAAACTACTACTCATAAAGAGACTTAACGATACCTAACATTATCTTCCTTACTGAAACATTTGCAATAATTGAGCCTAACTCTTTGATTGCAGAGACACCAAGTACGACAACCCCACCAGCCATAAAGTCTGAAACGACCACGGTGACCACAGAACCACCGAAAGTAGAAAGCACGACAGTAACGATTACAACGACAACGGAGAAACCAACGACGACGACAGCAGTACCAACAACTACCACAACTGCACAACCCACAACAACAACAACTACCACTCAACCTACAACCACCCTGACAACTACTAAGCAACCAAGCACAACCACTCAGGCAACCACAACAACCACAAAGGCCACCACTACGACGACTCAACCAACAACAACCACTACTACACAGCCAGAAACAACTACAACTGAAATCAATGAAGAAACCTCCACTGGAATCCATATCGAGTCCGAAGATGAGACAGAGATTGTAACAGAGATCGTTACTGAATTTTTCACGGAGATTGTCGAGGAAGATGATACTGAAGTACCAGGTAGATAGATACATCATGGTAATTGGATAGGTTTTAATAAAGAATAGAGTAGAATAATAAAATGAATATATTTATAAAAATGTCTGACTGCTTCGTTCTTATCATTTATAACTTTAGGGCATTGATATGTTCCCATATGATTTCATTGAGAAACAAATTTATAGTTACGTTCAAAAAATAGATACTTGAAGGGCGTTGAATTCGAAATACATATTTAGCTTAAAAGTTAGTCGTGCAGCCATTGTGTACCTGACGATCTATCATAAATTTTATTTTCGGTTCCTGCGTCAGTCCTACTTTCAGGAAAACCATGGTCAATTTTCAAAATAATACTGAAACGACGTTTACGTAGCGATACGATCCTCCATTAGGGTGGCAAACAAATTTTTGTTCGAACTGAGATACGATCTCCTCTATTTTTAATAGATCATTCTGGCCTTCCATCGAACTTGATGCATAGCACCTGGCGGTCAAATCTTAAAATGTTTCTCTGTATCTCCGCCAAGGAATATTATTGAAAGTTCTATTAATTCTCGATAGCAACTTCGTTGGTCAATTCATATCTATAACATTCTAGCAGCTCGTCAGTCTATCAAATATTCGGGCATGATAGCTTTTCAGTATACTCCATACTTTTCCAGCTCTCGTTTTTAAACATTGGAATGTCAGAGCTTGTAGTCACTTGGTATTTGAAGCACTAGTATCACATTAGAGAATATGATCTTTATCTTTAGCTAGTTTATTTTGTCAATGATTTTAGTTACAGAAGAAGGCTCCGCAGCGACTGAACAACCTGAAGCAGACAGCTTAATTCCATCGAGCGTTACCGAAAGCACCACCACATTGGAGTCTGAAACAACGGCTGTGGATCAACCTACGACCCAATCGACTGCAGCGATGGATACTTCGACGGAAATGTCAACGCTTTCTATGACGCAGGTTGCAACAGAGCAGACTGCAGGAGCAGCAAGGGAAGCTAGATCCAAGGAGGCCATTAAAATGGCCCCGCACAAGAATACTGTGAGGCCGAAGCCAAGGAAACCAAGATCGGTAATGTATACATCAGTATGGAAACTATAACGTTGTTAATCGTTAAACAAATTTTTGGAGAGTGGAACTCAGACACACGACGTTTGCCTCACCTTTTTTATAAACAAGAGGAAATGGTGGTGTGATTTCTCTTTCGTTTGATCGTTAGTGCGGATTTAAACTGCAACTCCAAATTTTGCTGCCATTTTTTTGCACACAATCAAGACGAGCAGCAATTCATGTCTGCAGGAAACCTCATTAAACACCTATACGTCCTTCCGATCCATGTTCCGACCCTGCTTCATTTTTCTGAACTCGAAAAACTCTGATTTTCTGAGATTACGAATCCCTTATAATTCATTGGTTAGTAGATAGTGAGAAAAAAATGTTCGTCCAGCATGTAGGATAGATATTCAGATAAAAATATACTAAGTGAGCCGAGATGTCCTCAGGTCAAAAAAAGCGGTGGCCAGTAGTGGGCACGTGGCACTGCTTGCCTCGTTTTCCAAAATTTACGGTATAAAAAACCCTGTTTCCATCAGGTTTTTTTTGTCAAGGGGTAGGAGTGGCTTCCAGCAAAATCAGGTGCTATACAGCTACAAGGCAGCTACAAAACTGAAGGTTAAAATTCCATTAGAAAATGGACGGGGTAGCACCCAAGCCAAAACAACTAAACGTAAGGTACAAAATAAAAGGGTACTACTACTCCATAATCTGGTGTTTAGGGCGTAATATCCCAGAATCTGGAAATTATTACCAACGAAACGACCCACGCACAACCAAAACCTCAACGGAAACAAGAAAAGAAAATGGCGCTGGACTCGTCTGTACACGCAAGTTTTTAAAACGAGGTATTTCGATAGGATAAGAAGGTATCTAGCTAGGTAAAGAAGGTATCTTGATAGGAAATCAAATATTCCTATACGGCGTGTACGTGCAGAAATCACAAGATGGCGCTGGTTGCCAATGGGCGGAACCAACTCTACGAGGGACCAACGATATTATGTGGGGAAATTTCTGAGATTAATTCTATAAAATTAATGTCCAAAAGATTTCAACACAATTCTGAGTCGCTAAGAAAGAAAGATGTAATACGTGTGGGAGAAAGTCATTAAAAAGGGTTTGGTCTAGGAATCGGCACCCTACCATTAATATACTAAGTGACATATAAATCCGAACACCCAGTTTAAATGGTTTTATTTTAATAAAAGTTGGTGAATGTATTTATCTTACTGTAAATAACAAGTGAAAAAATTTTCAGCCTTATCAGTTGGACATTCCGGTTTTTTGCTGCTTTTTTTTAATTCACTAACGCTCTAAAAATGAATATTTCAGCCGCAGTAAAGAATCAACGTTGGCGGATTTTGGTTCTTGACATCCTTTACGATCGGTTACGATGCCTAGAGTACGGAGACCTGTACGATTTCGTCAACTTAGTTAGTTTGATAGGGGCCGTATAGTGGGACTTCGGGAAGCTGGACTTTCTTTTCGCTCAATTGCAGTTAAAGTGCAAAGAAGTGTAGACACTGTGGTTAGGTGTTGTCAGGCATGGCTTCGAGAAGGCCGTACGCAAAGAGCAAGGGGCACTGGACGCCACCGTAGAACAACAGACCGTGAAGATCGCCGCCTAAGATTATTGGCCTTAAGGGACCGTTTCTCCACTACCAGGTGCATTGCAAATGAATGGTTTGCAAAACACGGAAGACCTATTGGCATGCGAAGTGTTTATCGATGAATGAGAAGTTTTGGCTTGTTTTCATACCGGCCACACTGGGTCCTCCCTTTAACTCGAGAACACCTACGTAATCGCCTTGAGTGGTGCAGACAACGGTCACTCTGGGATCAGGAATGGAACAGTATTGTCTTTAGTGACGAGTCTCGATTTTGTTTAGGCATGCACGATGGTCGTGCCAGGGTTAGAAGGCGACGTGGTGAAAGGAGGAATCCACAGTTTTTTGTTGAAAGACATGTTCATCACACTGTTGGAGTTATGGTTTGGGGTGCTATAGCGTATGGTTCCAGGTCACCTTTAATCTTCATCAGAGGTAACATGAACATATATCCACGAAGTTCTAGAACCCCATCTTTTACCCTATCTTGACACCCTGGCAGATCCAACTTTCCAACAAGATAATGCCCGACCACATGTTGCAAGAGTCACAATAGACTTCTTTCAACATAATGATGTCACATTGTTACCAAGGCCACCAAGATCTCCCGACTTATCCCCAATTGAGCACGTGTGGGATATGATGGGTAGGAGATTGCTCAATTTGCAACGTCCTCCTCAGACTCTAGAAGCACTTCGAGAGGAGTTGGTGGTTGCCTGGAATGAGATACCACAGGAGGACATTGACCACCTGATCAGAAGCATGCCTAGGCGCGTTGGAGAATACGTAGCACATCAGGGTGCATCCACACATTATTAAAGGTCAAAGGGATTTAAACAAGTGCAATCATTTTGAAATTTTTATCATTTACTTATTATGCTTCATTAAGTACTTATACAAAATTTTCTTAAAATAAAACCATTTAAACTGGGTGTTCGGATTTATATGTCACTTAGTATAAGAAGAAATTCAAATAACTAGTAAGTGATCAAAATAGTAAAAAAAGAAGTTACCTGATTTTGGCACGTGACAAATTTTTATTGGCTTACATTTTTGATAGAAACGAAATTTTATTTTAGGTAAATCATATGTACGAGTATAGCAAGCTAATCAACTTGACTCCATCTTTTCTAACGAGGTTTACGTGAAATCCAGGCTTCTATAATCGATTAGTCTCTGGGTTAGATGTCGGAGATCGTACGTTGTGTCTGATGACTGCAAAACTGTGCGGCAATTAAATTATCATCCGAGTTACTATGGATCTTGATTGTCGTTTGGCAAAAAACCGATCATCAGAAATTTTAATTTCAATTTAAAAAATACTTATTTTTACAAGTCATCCCATTTTATAAACCTCGTAAGCATTATGGGAAAATAATACAAACCTTATTTGCGGTTAGAATAAACGGAAGAAGAATCAAACCGCAAATAGATTTGCATTATTCAAAACGTCTCTCTGGTACGAACGAAACTGGTCAATGATCCTATATCGAATCATTTCAGCAATAATATTCCATTACAAAAGGTGAAACCCAACCATTCTAGGAGATACATGCAGACACGTTTTAATCTTTGACACCTTAATTTGGTTTAATTGCTCAAAACGAAGAGCTTAAATCGTTGAAAAACTTCTGCGTCAACGAGTCGTAGGGTCGATAGACTAGAAGATGAAATCGTAAAAAAAAGATGAGATCGTACAGTAAGCGTTTAAAGTAAGAGTTGTCGGTATATACACTGAGAACCATTCAAAATTCTTCAAAACTATTATCAAGCTCAAACAGTATTTCTGACGGTGTACCACAAGGTAGTAAACTAGATCCACTACTATTTATTTTATACATTAATGACACTTATAATATTTTAGATTATTGTAAACTTCAGATATTTGCAGATGATACATTAATATACATATCAGAAGAAAATATAGACACTGCTTTAAAAATGCTAATAAATAAACAAAAATTGAATGCTTCTAAAACAAAATATATGCTAATAGGGAAGTACCTAAATGAAAATACTTTCACAGTGAGCATAAATGGTGAAATATACTAAGTGACATATAAATCCGAACACCCAGTTTAAATGGTTTTATTTTAATAAAATTTTGTATAAGTACTTAATGAAGCATAATAAGTAAATGATAAAAATTTCAAAATGATTGCACTGCTTTAAGGCCCTTTAATAATGTGTAGATGCACCCTGATGTGCTACGCATTCTCCAACGCGCCTAGGCATGCTTCTGATCAGGTGGTCAATGTCCTCCTGTGGTATCTCATTCCAGGCAACCACCAACTCCTCTCGACGTGCTTCTAGAGTCTGAGGAGGACGTTGCAAATTAAGCAATCTCCTACCCATCATATCCCATACGTGCTCAATTGGGGATAAGTCGGGAGATCTTGGTGGCCATGGTAACAATGTGACATTATTATGTTGAAAGAAGTCTATTGTGACTCTTGCAACATGTGGTAGGGCATTATCTTGTTGGAAAGTTGGATCTGCCAGGGAGTCAAGATAGGGTAAAAGATGGGGTTCTAGAACTTCGTGGATATAACGCTGCGCGTTCATGTTACCTCTGATGAAGATTAAAGGTGACCTGGAACCATAAGCTGTAGCACCCCAAACCATAACTCCAACAGTGTGATGAACATGTCTTTCAATAAAAAAACTGTGGATTCCTCCTTTCACCACGTCGCCTTCTAACCCTGGCACGACCATCGTGCATGCCTAAACAAAATCGAGACTCGTCACTAAAGACAATACTGTTCCATTCCTGATCCCAGAGTGACTGTTGTCTGCACCACTCAAGGCAATTACGTCGGTGTTCTCGAGTTAAAGGGAGGACCCAGTGTGGCCGGTATGAAAACAAGCCAAAACTTCTCATTCGTCGGTAAACACTTCGCATGCCAATAGGTCTTCCGTGTTCTGCAAGCCATTCATTTGCAATGGACCTGGTAGTGGAGAAACGGTCCCTTAAGGCCAATAATCTTAGGCGGCGATCTTCACGGTCTGTTGTTCTACGGCGGCGTCCAGTGCCCCTTGCCCTTTGCGTACGGCCTTCTCGAAGCCATGCCTGACAACACCTAACCATAGTGTCTACACTTCTTTGCACTCTAACTGCAATTGCCCGAAAAGAAAGTCCAGCTTCCCGAAGTCCCACTATACGGCTCCTATCAAACTCACTAAGTTGACGAAATCGTACAGGTCTCCGTACTCTAGGCATCGTAACCGATCGTAAAGGATGTCAAGAATCAAAATCCGCCAACGTTGATTCTTTACTGCGGCTGAAATATTCATTTTTAGAGCGTTAGTGAATTAAAAAAAAGCAGTATAAAAACCGGAATGTCCAACTGATAAGGCTGAAATTTTTTTCACTTGTTATTTACAGTAAGATAAATACATTCACCAACTTTTATTAAAATAAAACCATTTAATCTGGGTGTTCGGATTTATATGTCACTTAGTATATCTGTATGTTATGTGATTGCTGCAGTTTTTTAAAAGAAAGTAATTGTAGCAATCACGCTGAATAAATTTTAATCAAACAAATGATCCTACTTCATAAAGTAAATCAATTATGAGAATAAAGGGATGTTTCAGAAACGCGAACATAATCCTCATATCACTAACAGTAGCTGAAATAACCTACAGTATATTCAGATAAGAGATAGACCGGACATAAACAAGACCACATGATCATCGAACGCTGTAACATTCGGCAGGGACGTATTAAGAGTCACGCAGTACATATTTTAGATAGTAGATGCTGCTTTGCGTAACTTTGTAGTAAATTAGCACAATTCGATGTGTATACGATTGGTGATGGATATAGGATCATGTGGGGGTGGGGTAAGAAATATATAATGATGTAAATATACATAAGGGTTTCAAAATCTTCGCTTCGATTTCCAGCTTCGGATGCCGCCTGATGTTTGGTGAAATACAGTCGAATATAATCTCAAAATTGCGGTTGAATTAGCCTAAATTAAAAATAATCGTATATCTCTTAAAATTGCTTTTAGAATATTGATTAGTATATTTTTTGATTTCTAGGTAACTATGTAACCAAATTAAAACGTTCAAAACGTAAAAAAATGTGCATGGTTGAACATTGTCAGAAAGTAGATTCTTGAATAGGTTTTGCCAAAATGGGTTCAAAAAAGTCAATAATTAATTAAAAAATACAGTAGCTTTATAATTACTTATAACTTACCGAATTTGATGAACGACATCTTTTATTGGAAAGATGAGCTTGATGAGCTTTCATCATCGCTACTGCCTGAAGCACCAACGTCAATAATGAATGGCTCGACTTGTTCCTCTAAAATATTGTCCAGTTCCCACATTCTCTTTTCAACTTTGTCTTTCACGTGCTTAATACAGTTTTCCCATTTTTGCGCTGTTATTAATTCTAGTGCTTCTTTGAAAAGTCCTTTCGAGGTCACAAAATTTAAAAGTTGTATTCTGCTTAGCTATATAATTTTTAACCTCTGGCCATATGAGCTCAATGGGATTGAGCTCGCAATGGTATGGAGGTAAACGGAGCAAAGTTTTATTTTGACTTGCTGCCATTTCGTCAATGGCGTATTTTTGATATTCCGCCTTGTGATCCTTGACAATTCTTAATAATTGTACTTTCAGCATTGCTTCTTCAAAGTTGATATTTTTCGAGCGGAGCCAATTTTGAACATCAACTTTCCTTGAAGCCGTTGTTGGGACCTTCTCCATTCTTCGAAAATGATAAGGCGCATTATCCAACACAATTACTGCGTTTTCCTCTAAGTTCGGTAAAATTTTTGAAAACCACTGTTCAAACGATTCGCCATTCATTTCCTCGTGGTAATCCAGTTTTCTTAGACTCAAAGCACCACAGACCGTCAACAACAAATCCATCCTCACTGCCAATATGGCAGATAATGAGCCTTTTCCATTTACCTGGAAATCGAAGTACTAACTGGTGTAGATTTATTTCAATAAGCGAACCTTTTTCAAATGTTTTCATCACATTCAGCGAAGAAACATTGAGACATGAGTATCAGATTGCTATAATTGGGATTATTTAGTCATATTGAAAGAAATAATATTGAACGTCGTATGATTACTCAGCGCTTCACAATTTAATTTAAAGTTATAAACCTTTAAAAAATGAATGATCAGGAACCTGAAATACGCGCAAATATTAATATTAACAAATTATAACTTTATAAAGGTATAACAATAACAACGACAAACTCAACAACTTAATAAGATAACAAACGAAAACGTCCAAAGAAATATCAAATTGCAATGATGCACACGACATACGTAACACGTCTGAACCTGAATGTGACTCTGCCTTGATACGACTGCTCTGCCGCTCGGCATAGGCATTTAATTGCGAATTGACCAATGAGGGCTCCTGTTTTACGTCGAGACGGCGACGTTAGCGTGAAAATCACCCGAACCTTTTGTTTACATCCGGTCTATCTCTTATCTGAATATACTGTAGCCAAGTACCCTGTACTCTGTATTCGAACCAGTCGGAATACTCGGTGCTTGGCATTTTGAAAAAAGTAGTACTCGATGCATCCCTAGTTAATATAATATTGTTGTTGAAAGGTAATGGACTACCTGCTAGCGAAATACTACGACAATTTCTACGTCCCCGAGGATCTGAAGGCCGGTACGACCAGGACCTTCTTGCCATCCGACAAGACATTCTCCCCAGTGCCTGCAGCACAAGTGCCGGCAAACTTCCTGGTATACGGCAAGTTCCGGGACTACCACGTAAACTTCATGCAGTACGACGCGGTGCTGCCGTACTACTTCGTGCCTTATTTGAGCTGCGTCGCGCTCAGTTTGCCTCTTGACAGCGCCAACTACTACTTGCTCCTGCTCCTGCCGACCAATGAACGCGGTATCGACAAGCTGATACACGATCTGCGTCTGGGTCCCAGTTTGAAGGAGATCGTCAGGAATCTCAGGCAGAGGCATGTTGTGGCGACGATACCCAGCTTCACGTTGAAAGGGTTCGTGAATTTGACGCCCACGCTACAGAGGGTAAGTGCTCAATAATTACACCGTATCCGTGTTTGTGTGCTTGCCTAATTTTCTTTGTTGTCTGCCAACGAAATTCTTTTTATATGTATAGTTGAGGTAATTTCTCACTGAGAAGTATTTTATATTGACTGATTAGGAAAACTTAGCTGATTAGTTGTCGCTCGACATCAACAAAGCTTCCGGTCCGGACTTGATTCCTGCCATTGTACTGAAGAGGTGTGCACCGGAGCTTGCTCCAGTTCTTTCGCGTCTCTTCCAGATATCTTATGAATCCGGCACCTTCCCAGAAAACTGGAAATTTGTTCATGTACAACCCATCCCAAAAAAGGGATCTAAGATCGATCCTTACAACTACAGGCTTATAGCTCTGCTTTCTGTTTTAAGTAAGGTTCATCCCACAACGTCAACGCCTGTGTTCCCCAGGGATCGGTCTTGGCTCCGACACAAAATTTCTTTGGGATCATCATAGCAGCCGCGGTGTTCGGGCATTTAGGCTTCTGCCTGCGCGGCTGCTTCGATATAAAAAAAATCCCAAATACCATTTGAATTTGCCTACTGAATTAATATGTAATTCCTCACTTAGCATTCGTCACGTTTACTGCACAACTAAAGATGCACAGCGAATCTAAAACAACCGGATATCCACTTATTTACTATTACTATTATTTACTAGCTGGGCGTCAGAAGAATATTCGAACCACGCCAAGCAGACTTTTCACCAATGACAAACTACAGGGAGGATGTTTATATAACGAATATCGAACAGGCCATCACAGTTAACATCAGGAACTATGTGGATCCCGGTATGCTACAGGAGGATAGTAAGTTTCTCTCTATTTGAAAAAATACATCTTTTTATCGGATCGTTCCAAGAAGGATTTTGCAACAATTTGTTTTTCAATCCGAGATGAGCGTTATTTTCAACAGTTTATATCCTCTCAAGGAGCCATGAAAAAACCAATCAAGTCCACACTCTTTTATCAATGACATAATAATATCAACAGCATAATTTTAACTGTACTACAAACCTAAATACGAAAGTACGACGATAGTATGTAATAAGCATTGGAGCTAAAACAGGACAACCCGAGAGCTAGGGTGAAGATCAAGGGTATAATGAATAAAAAAAAGAATTGCCTTGGAAGTAAAATCTTATAAGGATAAGTCGGTGCTTATAATCACAAGGTATTTCTCATTTTCAATTGAATGAAAATAAGTTTATTCTTAACACTTAATACTGGAAAAATCTCCTGCATTTAAATCTTTACTTATTCCTTATCATAATTATCAGTATTTATACTAAGTGACATATAAATCCGAACACCCAGTTTAAATGATTTTATTTTAATAAAAGTTGGTGAATGTATTTATCTTACTGTAAATAACAAGTGAAAAAATTTTCAGCCTTATCAGTTGGACATTCCGGTTTTTATACTGCTTTTTTTAAATTCACTAACGCTCTAAAAATGAATATTTCAGCCGCAGTAAAGAATCAACCTTGGCGGATTTTGGTTCTTGACATCCTTTACGATCGGTTACGATGCCTAGAGTACGGAGACCTGTACGATTTCGTCAACTTAGTGAGTTTGATAGGGGCCGTATAGTGGGACTTCGGGAATCTGGACTTTCTTTTCGGGCAATTGCAGTTAGAGTGCAAAGAAGTGTAGACACTGCGGTTAGGTGTTGTCAGGCATGGCTTCGAGAAGGCCGTACGCAAAGAGCAAGGGGCACTGGACGCCGCCGTAGAACAACAGACCGTGAATATCACCGCCTAAGATTATTGGCCTTAAGGGACCGTTTCTCCACTACCAGGTCCATTGCAAATGAATGGTTTGTAGAACACGGAAGACCTATTGGCATGCGAAGTGTTTACCGACGAATGAGAAGTATTGGCTTGTTTTCATACCGGCCACACTGGGTCCTCCCTTTAACTCGAGAACACCGACGTAATCGCCTTGAGTGGTGCAGACAACGGTCACTCTGGGATCAGGAATGGAACAGTATTGTCTTTAGTGTCGAGTCTCGATTTTGTTCAGGCATGCACGATGGTCGTGCCAGGGTTAGAAGGCGACGTGGTGAAAGGAGGAATCCACAGTTTTTTGTTGAAAGACATGATCATCACACTGTTGGAGTTATGGTCTGGGGTGCTATAGCTTATGGTTCCAGGTCACCTTTAATGTTCATCAGAGGTAACATGAACGCGCAGCGTTATATCCACGAAGTTCTAGAACCCCATCTTTTACCCTATCTTGACACCCTGGCAGATCCAACTTTCCAACAAGATAATGCCCGACCACATGTTGCAAGAGTCACAATAGACTTCTTTCAACATAATGATGTCACATTGTTAACATGGCCACCAAGATCTCCCGACTTATCCCCAATTGAGCATGTGTGGGATATGATGGGTAGGAGATTGCTCAATTTGCAACGTCCTCCTCAGACTCTAGAAGCACTTCGAGAGGAGTTGGTGGTTGCCTGGAATGAGATACCACAGAAGGACATTGACCACCTGATCAGAAGCATGCCTAGGCGCGTTGAAGAATGCGTAGTACATCAGGGTGCATCCACACATTATTAAAGGTCAAAGGGCTTTAAAGCAGTGCAATCATTTTGAAATTTTTATCATTTACTTATTATGCTTCATTAAGTACTTATACAAAATTTTATTAAAATAAAACCATTTACACTGGGAGTTCGGATTTATATGTCACTTAGTATATATTGAACTTTGGTTCCAAATTCTGGAATCGTGTACGCTTCCAGGCCACTAGAATAACACTTTTAATCACTTCATTTATAGTGTATCACAAGTTACTTGTACATTTATACTCGCAAACCCTTTTCTTATGACATATTCGTAACCAAAATCTGAAGGTTTTTTGATTTGGACATGAGTACAGTCTAATGCACGGATGACAGTAGGCCCACATTGCAAAATCCAGCGAGGGGCATGTTTGGTTTACAGGTTGTGCAGGATGGCATGACTAGATTGATTTGAATAGTTGCTAACTATTCAAAATGGCAGCAGAAATAATAACTTCTATGTTGGGATGTTTCGGAGAGCAAAAAAATCACACGCCACTCCTTACCCAAGGATTGGGTACCTTATTAGGAATATTTCACCTTGGAGCAGAAGCCAGGGTGGCATATGCCGCCCAATGGGCGCCCATGATAGAAGGCGCAACAAATCGATTTGACCATTTTTTTCTTGCATCTTGCATGCCCTCCAGGTCAACTTTATCCATTGATCGGTTTTTTCAAATATTCTCCAGGAACATAATCTATATACGCAAAGTTGGGGTTTTCCTGTACACGACGTGTAGATCTTAAAAACATAAGCAATTTTTCTTAGTACCATTTACACCAATGTCTTAAGGGAACCGAGATAAAGGGCTCTGCAATATCAAAAATATCTTAATACCGTCCTGTAGCCGCGACATCCCCGACTGGTACAAGGTCACTAGCTCAACCCGACGACAGAACTGGGTCGGGGTCAGTGTGTCAGGTCAGAATGCAACCTTCAACCGACGGTTACGGTCACGCGTCTAGAGGTAATCGCGTAGACGAGAATCCCTCAACAAGCAATAGAGACGTGGCTAGAGAAGTGCAAGTATCAAAACCTAAAGTGTGGCAAACGCTGCGTGAAGAGGGGATGTATCCGTTTCACGTCCAACGTGTACAAGCCCTTCAACCTGACGATTTTCCAGCAAGAGTGCGGTTTTGTGAGTGGTTGTTGCATCAACATGACAATAATCCGGACTTTTTGAAGTGCAAATTGGGGACAGACGAATCTACGTTCACGCGTAATGGGGTGAATAACTTTCGCAATACTCATGTTTGGTCAGTAGAAAATCCGCACGCTGTCCGTCGGGCACATTTTCGGTGAATGTTTGGGCTGGCATGGTGAACGGTATGCTCATTGGACCATTTATTCTCCCAAATCGATTGGACGGGATGCAATACCTAGACTTTTTACGCAACATTTTGCCTTCCTTGTTTGCCTGCGTCTGCTCGGTAGCGCATCAGCTGATTTCATTTTCTGTTGGAGCGGTATGATTTCGGGCAGAGACGTACTTAGCCCTTCTCGTCAACTGGAGATTGACTACTTTTTCCTTTATTTCTTTTTACTTGGTCGCCCTCGTTTCACTACACATTACCTTTGTTATTTCAAGGGTAGTTGTTTCTGAAAAGGAAAACCCCAACTTTGCGGACACGCTGTATAGTATTTGAATTCCAGTATCACTAACATATCGCAGAAATATTTCCATCTTTGAGGTAAGTGCACTTCCTCTGGATTCATCCATCTGCGGTAAAAAAAGTTCTGATAAATAGTATACGGTTTCGCTTTCAAAACGCAATAAAACCTTAGATTTGCTAGGACTTACGCTTTTTCTTTCTTTGTAGTTTTTAGTATTACGAACATTTATCAGGTTTGTCATTATTAAAAGTATGCTTCTCTGATAAAAGTATGTGTTGGAGATACCTTAACAGACATTAAGTTAATTCTTGCTGATTTTAAGCTAGGAAGGCAGTATTGGCAAAACCTAAGTGAAGTCTTATGTTTCAAGTAATTACTAGTATGAGTAGATTCTCCTTTATAAAGTAGTGACTGACTTTTCATTCAATGCTTATCAAGTGAATGCTCAAATAACAGGAAGCATAAGGAAATACTTTTTTTATTCAATAGACCCCTTTGTCTTCGCACTGTTAACTTGAATTTGGCAACTCAAAATTAATTCATAATATAGAATTACTGATGGGGTTTGTTGCTGTAGATTCGACCAAAAATCGCGGGATTCTTCCAAATTCTCTTCTCGAGAATTTTCTTTTTTCTGCAATATCTTCTGTTTACATTCGGGATGTTAATCGAGCAGCTCTAGAAAAAACAAGAACAATAAGCAAGTAGGCGTACGAATGTAAGGCTTGCAAAATTTTTAATGACAATTTATTTTGCAATTCGTTCAGCTCATTTAGTTTGGCACCGCGTCGCGTCTTCGAGGATGATTTTTGTAATTGCTGAGGACTCGTTATCCACCATTATCGTATAAGTGTCGCTGAGACGGATAACATTTACAACCATTGCATGCAAAGACAAATTGAAACCGCGAAGCGAGACAGTTTCTTTGTGATGGAGCATCCGCGAAGGCAGAACCTATACATACGTGGTGACAGGTAAATAGGTGTAAAACATTTTAGGAGGTAATAGTACAGCCCCTTTGCTGTCGAAATTAGTATATAATACCATACCCTATATTCAAAGGTTGAAAAGTTATGGAAGATTTAATTTTTTTTTAAAACGACCCAGATTACAAAGTAAAATAGTTGAGATAAAAAAAGTTGGTGATTAAACATTCTTTTTTTGGTGGTTTCAGGTGATTATTTAAATAAATAAAGATTTAAGATTTTCTTAAAAACAATCCATATTTCAGAGTAAAAAAGTCGAGAGAGAAAAAAGTTGGCGATTAAACATTTGTTTTTTGTGGTTTTGGGTTATTATTTCAATAATTAACTATTATAAATTAAAAAAGATTCGAAAACAATACCAAACAACGTATTTATTTTCATTCAAAAATGTTTAACTAAGAAAAGCAAATAACGTTTTACAGTAAGTAAGGTGTTTTACAAAAAAATCAGTATACAAAAAAACATACAAACAATTTAAATAATATCCTTGTTTCATAAGGAATCTAAATTGGTATGATAAGTGCACAAAAACTGTGTGAAACTAAACATAAGGTATTGTAATACAACAATAGGGAGTAAATTTACCAATGGCTTGTCTCCTATTTTCACAACTCTCTGATTGATAAGAAAGTGT